CCCCAAAACCCCAAAACCCCAAAACCCCAAAACCCCGAAAAATTGCTTAGAAATAGAACCTTGGTTAATTAGGATTTAAATATTTTGGGGAAATGAACATGAATGTATTAGGAGTAATTCTTTTGGGAATGCTGGCTGTTTTAGTGGAGGAAGGCAAGGGTAGTACCTGCACTCAAGGAATCACTACAATTTTAAGTTAGGTTTTCTTCCTAAAATTTAGAACCCGAGGAAATAAAGTCGTACACGTGGAACGAGACTTACACTGAGTCTTACTTTATAGATGCGCTTGGCACTGGTGAGCAAAGTTTTATATAACTTAGGGGATATGTACTGGATTGCCAAATCAGGACCAAGTATAATAGATGTGATGAGAGAAAATGCAGATGGGAGTATTCCGTGGGTTAGAAGGATAAATTCCCAGCAGAGTGTTCCCAAGGCGCATGTACTTAATAATGCGGGGACTACACTTTGGATATTAGATGAACAATCTGGATTCAATGGAATAGATCTTTGCCAAATTGATACTTCAACAGCAGTTTTAACATCTCATGTAACGTAAGTAATCAGATTCTGGTATGAAGATTTCATTTACCCTAAAAAATAGGTTTTGTGAAAGCTACTATTTAAAAATGGAACTTTCTCTTACCTTCTAAAATTCCTTCAGACTTTAGAGAACTTTTCTTTAAATTCTTTGTTTGAAAATTAACGGAACATAGTTTTATACAGATAAATCATTGCTGAATCCCTACTATATCTGGCTTAATTCTTGAATTTTGGTGATTTCATAAGTTTTTGGATAAAATGCGTCATATCTTTTCTCTCATTAGAAACCTTTATGAATTATTTAAAGATCCCTGCTTTGCAATATAAATTACATTTATCTCACTCAAGCTTCAGTTATATTCATGAGAAATTATCGATTTGGCTAGAGCAAAGCAATATTTCATAAAACTGGCCTAATAATTATTTTAAATAAAATTGAAAAAGGGTGTACAATCTCATGTTCATTGCTAAAATGTTATGAATGGCTAGCACCCTACAGAATTTTATGGCCCAACCAACTAATAAAAACGCAATTTTAAAACGCAAAGAATTCTTATAGTCTTGCCTGAATTTTATGAGTATACGCAATAGTATATCTAAAGCATTCCCTTTCCCATAAAATGATGAATATTTCTCTTCCGTAATGTTTCTAATAAACCTAATAAGAATCGTGTCCTCAGTGGTCTAAATTGTGAGAGCAAACCCTGTGACTCACTAATATACCCAGAATAAGATTTTTGGATGATCCTTACAAAGTATCTATTTCTCCTTTATAAAGCAACTAGGTTTATTCACCAATTACACCAAGTTATTTTGGAGCTTTAATAATTATTAAAAATCTTCAAATATACTGAAAGAAGCATGAAATAAGCATAAAACCTAATACTTTTGCTAAGTTAGAGGATGTTTAGATGCAGCTAAAGAATTAGAACATTACTGTAAACAAGTATATGAAGAGAATGAAATGGTTGGAGGGATGCTTTAGTTAATAAATTCAAAATTTAAGTAAATCAAACATGTGTTAACTATATTTTTGATAATCTGAACTATTATCACTGGATCATCTTTTATTACCCCGACATATGGTTAAAACAGTCCTAAATTTGTTCTTAACAATTAATGATGCATAGATACGATCAGAGAAATAACGATTTGAGTTCAACCTTGTTGGTCTCAGACGACGACACAAAATTGTACTACACTGCCATAAGTAAGCATTAATGTTAGGATCTTCTAATTTGGAATAGAAGGAACAGATGCAAACTTATGAACATTTGATATTTCCTCTCTTACTTCGTCATGATTCTCAACTGGAACCTCTTCTCCTCATGGAATTCTCAGGATCAGTGACTCAAGGATCATTTTCTTTGGAGTAGATATCTCAACCAGCAAAGGATTGATTGCTAATATTGACCCTTCTCCAGCAACAGCTACTAGCAATTGGGAAAAACTGGTTGGAATCCCTGGAGGAGCTGCAGTAATGAACAAGGCTATCGCAGCTACTAATACGGACAAATCCTTAATTTACGCTGCTGTCCCAATCGGTACATCCCCCTCTACAACGTATCTACTATTCCTCGTCATTGACGAGCCTACAGGAAGTTTAGTTGGAGATTCTTTAGTCTCAGACCAAGCTTGCACCAAAGTGGATGAAGTATTTTACTTCTCAGATAGATTTTATGTAATCGCACAATTTACAGAGTCAAGAGTGCTTGTGTTTGACCCAGCTGAGCATTCTTTCTCTGTTATCTTCCAAAGCACAGGGTCTACATTCAGAGGTATTCTCTCGGACACTCTTTCCGGAAGGTACATCTCCCTTCACCCTCTAGGCTCGGACTCATCGGAGGCAAGTCCAGCACCCCGATTGTGTACAAAGTTCACCCAGGTACGATACTTGCTAATGTTCTAGAACATTTGAGCCTTAATGGAGAGCTCACTAATTCATCCATGGGAATGTCAATCGCAACAACCTCATACAGTTATTCGTCTAGAACATATTCATATTCTGCAAAATCTAGTTCTGCCCATGGTAGTTACGGTGCACATCCAAATGCCCCTGCATCAAGCACGGAGACAACACTTTGGGAGACTTCTGTAAATAGATTTGAAGAGCCTATAACCATCGAAGCAAACCCGAGTTTTCCTTTCGATAATTTCATTAATATAACTTGCTCTATTGGTTCATCTACTCAGATCAGCTACACACTCTCTAGTGCCGACACCAAGAGCAGCACAAATTGGCTTACTTTTACTGAGAGTAATTTCAGTCTGGCCGGGACTCCTCCAGACAGTGCAGCTGATAAAACTTATAACTACACTATAGTGGCCAGTTGGAGCACAACTCCTTCAGGGACAGCTACTTCTGAAATTACAGTCAATGCTAAATCAAAGGCGACTATAACTGCTGGAGAAGTTGCAGAAGCTGCTGCCCAGTCTCAGGTAGGAGTAGCAGCTGGTGTTGCAGTCGTCAACTCAGCATTGTTAGGGACTCCTCCAACTTCATTATGGTCATTGCTGCAACAATTACAGATGTTGTTACTGCTAATGCTTATTGATGAGTACACTCCTTCAGATATTAATGAGTTCTTAGAAGGAATGTCTTTTGCAATGATCAACTTTAATTTTATCCCAGCAGCTGATCTTCCATTGATTGACATTCCGCTAGATTGGCTGGACTTCGGAGAGCCTGCAGAGAAAGTCCAGAATCTTGGTATTGAGTCCATTAGCACAATTGTAAATAACTTCTCATTAGTGTTTACTTTTATTTGTGTAATAATTGCACATACTGTGCTTAAAATCATTCCTTGGTTTAAAAATAAGAACCATCCTAACTGATTTATTAGAAATGTATCAATTATCAGAGAAAAAACCATTGATATCATCTTCTATATCGCTTATGCTAGACTACTTTTGGAAGCACATGAAACGATAGTAGTGACTTCGGCACTAGAAATTAAAGAGTTTGATACATCTTCTACTGCAAAAATAATATCTCTTTTGATTTGTTGAATCTTTCTGCTGTTATGTCTCATAATTCCTACTTTTGCTTTATATTTGTTCTATAATCATAGAAAAGAATATGATCCCGAGAAGAAGACACCCACTATGGAGTTCTTTGCTGGCCTTAGAAACAGTAAGTGGGCCAGATTTTATAGTTTCCTTTTGTTGTTCAGAAGAGTCTTTTTTGTGTTTATAATCATCTTCATGACTGGAAATGTGCACAGAGCTTGCATTTATTCTATCCTTCTTGCCTTCCAAGTAGCATATTTTTGGATTTTGGTAAGAATTAGCTTTTTAATTTTAAATAGATCTGTTTGAGACCATTTGAAGAACTACAAGATAACATCATTGAGTTGGTAAATGAACTCTTCTTAACTGAAGCTATTTGTTACTTGTTTGCTATGACAAGTGGTGACAAATGGACTGATTCAGCTATCACTTGGTTCATGAACAGTCTGATCTTTAACTGCTTGATTGTGCTTGGAATTATGATCTGTACTATTGCAGTGTAACCTATAGCCTTCACGATTGTGAATATTATAGTGAAATGTAGAGAGTCAAGAAAGAGCAAAGAGAGTTCATCATTCGGTCACTTGGTAAATCTTAGAATGCTGAAATATAGTCAGTACAAGAAGAACCTACTCCGGCAACAGAAAATAGGAATATAAAATCACAAAATATAGCTAGAAACGATTCTGAAGAAGAGCCTTAAAATATTTAGTGATAAAATTATATCTGTAAACTATTGTTTGAAATATTTTCAGTACTTTAAACCCATCTCGGGGTTTTGGGGTTTTGGGGTTTTGGGGTTTTGGG